AGGGAGGAAGGGAGGAAGGAAGGAAGGAAGGAAGGAAGGAAGGAAGGAAGGAAGGAAGGAAGGAAGGAAGGAAGGAAGGAAGGAAGGAAGAAAGGAAGGAAGGAAGGAAGGAAGGAAGGAAGGAAGGAAAGGAGGGAGGGAAGGAAGGAGAGAGGGAGCAGTACAGGACGCCCCACAGTACGCCACAGCACAGCTTTGGTGCCGCTTTGGTGCCCTCCGGCCGGCTCGGCGGCAGCCCGGTCCTCCCTGCCGCCAGGGGGCGCCGTCTGCTCGCTCTCGCCGATTCCCCGTCTGGGCCGGTCCCCTCCCGCCGGCTCCCGCGGCTCCGCGGCCCGCCCCCCCCCCCCCGCGCCCCTCCCGCGGGTTCGTCCCCCTTCCTGCCCCTCCTCGTCCGGGATGTTGCTGCCGCTGCTGCGGAATAGCTGCTTCCCTTCTTCCTCTCCCGGCGGCGGCGGCGGCAGCGGCGGCGGCGGCGGCGGCGACGCGGGCTCAGGGAGCCGGCCGGTGGGGCAGCTGCTGCACGGAGCCCGCGGGGCGGCGGGGCCGGACGAGGCGGGGAACAACGAGCCAGGGGCCGATCCCCTGCGGCGGCGGCGGGAGGAGGAGGCGGCGGCGGGGCCGGAGGCCGGGGGCCGGGCCCGAGGGGCGCCTCCTCCGGGGAGCGGGCCGCGGACGGAGCGGGAGCCGTATGTGTCCATGGATCGGGGGGCCGCGCTGCAGAGGCGAGGCGGAGGCCTGAGCGGGGGCGTCTCGGCCGCCGGCTCCCCGGCGCTGTCGGGCGGCCAGGCCCGCCGGAGGAAGCAGCCGCCCCGGCCGGCCGACTTCAAGCTGCAGGTCATCATCATCGGCTCCCGGGGCGTGGGCAAGACCAGCCTGATGGAGCGTTTCACCGACGACACCTTCTGCGAGGCCTGCAAGTCCACCGTGGGTAAGCGGGGGGCAGCGGGGACCCGGGAGGGGCCGAGGAGGCCCTAGGAGAGGGGCCGGGGGAGAGGACGCGCAGATCCCCTGGAGGGGACCGGGAAGCCCTCCCCCTGGTCCATCGGAGGCCTGGGACCCCTCCCCCCACCCTCGACGGAAAGATGGGGACCCCGGCCCCCGCGGCCAGCCCCGAGCGCCCTCCCCCCTCTCATGTCCAGCCCCCCAGCCCTGGACTGCCAGGGGTCTCCGCTCTCCAGACAGCTCCTCCCCAGCAGACTTCTCCCCGGCCTCTGCTTGCCCCTTCCCCACGTCCCTGGTGTTGACCTCATTTGTCCAGGCGTCCTTGAGCCTTTCTGACAACTCTAGCCCGAATTGCCACTTAGGTTCAGCCCCACACAGAAAGTGGGTGCACCGAGCCGAGGAGCTTCTCGGCGAAACTTAAGGCTGCTTCCCACTCCGAGGCCCTGATTTTATTTTGGTTTATATTATCTTTGCTTAGGGCTATCTTTCTTATCAGCTTCCATATACACCTGCCACTTGGTTCTTTTATTTGTGTATGTTCATCCTTCTACAAAAATACCTCCCTTCTCTTCCTCTTCTCCAAATATAGAATTGATTTATTCCTTAGATACCTCTCATGATGACCTGTTTCTTTAGACCCTCTTTATTTGCCTGTTCTAAGGTCAGATAACTGAGTGATGCATTTGTTTGGGTTCAGCTGTCCTAAGCAGTAGCCAGCAGCTAGAGTCGTTATCTGTTGAAACTCCTGACAGTCTTATATTACTAAGGGGGGGTGGATGGGGGCAGTCACTTGATACTTCGGGGTGGGACTCAGACAGGCATGTTGTGAAATTGAAAGGAAAGATAACAGTCACCTGCTGGGGCACACTCAGTGGCTTGTATGGCCTTGACTAAATAAGTGACAAAGGTGTATCAAGTTTATCTCTAGCAAAATTTCCCCCTCAGATTTTGATTAAAAAAAGAAAACAGTTCTGTGAAAGGATGGTATGGTAAAACTGGGTGTCTACTCATGATGAGCTACTGATATGATGTACTGAAATTTAAAATGCTTTTTAAAACTCTCCAAGGAAATGGATGAAAATAGTAGGATAGGGCAAGTTTGTTAATAAACAGTATGTTAAAGTACGTATGATAAAATAAAAGACTAAACTTTGAATCCTGTTTCAGTAACAGTGAATTCTGATAATCCACTAACACTCAGGCAGACTTAGTACTTCTGTGTAATAATATACCAGATCAGAAAATAAAATTGCTTTGCCTCATAAAACTGAAACTGAAGGGAAAATTTATGAAGGAAGGCAAATTTATTTATAATAAGAATACACTGGACTTCATAGCATTTATATGTAGCTTAGTTCTGGAAAGAACCTTGGAGATTTAGGCCAACCCATCATTTTGTAGATGAAGAAACTACTTTGTTTTGTCCATTTATCAATAACTGTTTTTGTGAAAAATCCCATAAAGCTAAGCTGGATCTCATGGCTCCTAGGCTGATGTATATGTAACCTAAATAAAGGAAAGCTGAAAAGGGAGAGAACTTTATTACATGGTGCTAGACTGGAGGTTCTTTAGCACAAAAGGAAATCACCTTGAATCACAGGCAATTAGGGATTTCCTCAGGGAATGTCCAAGAAACAGTGAATATTCATTTTTAGATTTTAACTTTTAGTGGATAACCTTTGCAAATCCAATTTTGTAAGATTCTGAAAGTCCTAATTAATTAGCAAACTTTCCTTATTCCTTTTTTGTGACTTTATTTTGAAAGTTTATGAATTTTTTTAAATTCAGTACCTAATGTTGAAGGACAGAACCTGTAGATAATTTTTGATTATAAAGCTGTTCAGTGCTGAACATTGTTAGTACTGATTCTTCTAAGGGCATATTTACACAGATTTTTAAAATTTTAAATTGTAATCCAAAAAAATTCCATATTTTAAAAATCTGAATTTCTGGTTAAAAAATACACACACACACACACTCACACACGCACACACGCACACACTGAGATTTTCTTTTCCTTACTGCTGTTTTGAAGCAGTTGATTGTGGAAGTGTTTGATCTTCCCTCCCATTTCCTTTGTTTCCTTTCTAAGAGTTGCTCTTTTGGCACTTATTTGCTTAAAAGTCTGATTTACCTGGAAATATAAATAGCAGATTTTATGGTGAGAATGATAAAAAACATTATCTAATGAGTTTTATTCATTTTTTTTAGGTTAAGTAAACAATGACAAGTTTGCAGATTTATCTTTCTTAATTTTAAGGGTCATCTTTAAATACATAAAATAGCCACTATAATTGTATCCTTAAAGTTACATTTGTGTGCACTGGGATAAAGACAAAACATTAGTAAGTCATTGGATTCCACATTTAGGTCATTGAACTCTGATGCTACTGCTTTGTTACATTTGCCTGAGTTGGGGTTACCCAGAAGTATGACATTGTCTGATTAATTCAGGCCTACCATGACTTGGGTCCTGTGCTAAGTATACAAAAATATCTTAAGACACTTTGGCCTCAAGGGGCTCAAAAGCAGGAAAGCTAATATACTAGTTGTATCCAACAGACCAGTCCTATTGGAGGTCTGAGGGAAAGGTGAGAAGGACTACTTGTGGAAGAGGAGGGATTTGAACTGGGCTTTGCTGGAAGAGTTTGACTTACACAAAGAATGGAATTTGGTGTAAAGAAAGCATAATAAATCAGGACTCACTGCAAGTAGATCAGTTTGGCTATATTGTAAGGCTCCCATAGAAGAGTTGTTAGGTCAGACTGTAGTAGCATTTTGTATGTTAGAGTAAGGCATTGGGAGTTTATTGTGTGGGCATTGAGGAGTCATTAAACGTTTTTGAGCAATGGGATCTTCAAAATGGTATGTTAGGAAAGTTAGTAGCACTTGGAAGACCAATTAGGAAATTTACATTAATTCAGGGGGAAAATAGTGGGAATTGAAAAGAAGATACACATGAGAAAAATTTCAAAAGAATTACTAGTCAGTCAGTAAACATTTATTAAATGCCTACTATGGGACAGGCACTATGCTAAAGGATGAGGATGCAAAGAAAGATAAATGACAGTTTCTGCTCTCAAGGAGCTCACAGTTGAATGGCAGGGACAACATGAAAACAACTGTATAAACAGCTGTATACAGGATATATACCAGCTATATACAGGATAAATTGGAAATAATCAACAAAATGTAGGCACTAGAATTAAGGGAGGTTAGAAAAAGCTCCCAGTAGAACAGTAGTGTCACACTCAAATAGAAAAGGATCCCTGCCATCTGCATATCGATTTAGAAAACCAGAAATAAACATTATGCTGTATTTTTATTTTGTTAAACGTTTCCTAATTATTTTTACTTTGGTTCTGGCTTCACTTGGCAGTTTCTCTGCTAGTTGTGGTTGTGAGTTTGACACCTCTGCTGAAGAAGGTGGTATTTTAGCTGACTTGAAGGAAAACAGAAAAGCCAGGAATCTAAGGTGAGGAGGTAGGACATTCCAGGCATGAGGGACATCTCCTTAAAGTGGTAGAAGTTGGGAGTTGTAGTGTGTTGTTTAAGGACCAGCCAGGGGGCCAGTGTCATTTCGTGGCAGAGTAAAAAGAGGAGAGAATATAAAGTGTAAGAAGATTGGAAAGGGAGGGGGCAAGTTATGAAGGCTCTGAACACCAAGATTTTATATTGATCTTGGAGCCACTGGAGTTTATGGAATAAGCGGGTAACATGCCAGGACTTAAGTTGGACTAGATAAGCTCCACGGTTGACTTTAGGTTTTGAGAGTGGGTAACTGGGAGAATGACTGACAGAATAATAACTAATTTATATCAAGCTTTAAGTTTTGCAAAACACTTTTCATAACAACTCTGTGAGTTAGGTAGAAATAAGAGGTTGCAGAAGGTAGTGGATTTAAGGGGAAAGATAAGTTCGCATTTAGATATTTTTGATTGAATTAGCCATATACACATGCTAAGATAAACAATGATCTATCCCTTTCATTTGTGTGAGGAACTCAAATGTGGAAAATCTACCAAGACAGATTAGCAACTCATCTGTAACATAAATAATAACCTTAGAGAATTGGGGCCCCGAATTGCCCTTGATCATACCCCTCATATGTATAAGAGACTTGAATAGAGGTCTTTCTGACTCCAAGGCCAGCTGCCTATCAACTGTACCAAGGTGCCTTTCTTTCTAACTATTGGTAGGAAAAGAGTATATGGAATGATCATTCATTTAATAAGTATTTGTTAAGTGTTTGATATATTCCAGGCACTGGGAATACAAACACAAAAAAGAAATAGCCCTTGCCCTAAAGGAGTATGCGTTCTATTGACAGTCAGTAAACATTAAGTGCCTACTATGTGCCAGGCATTGATGGGGAAACTACATGAACTTAGATAAAGTCCCAGTTGAATGATGCAGACATACAGAGCATAGTCTTAAAATTTCAGGTCTAGAGAGATCAATTCCAATTGGAGTGGTCTGGGAAGTTTTTATGGAAAATTTTTTTAAGCTGAGGGTTAAAAGGCCATTGTGGCAGTGTAATTGTAAGTGGGAATAAATAATGGCAGAGTAGTGATAAGTGGAGATTAAGAGGAAATGATAAATACCTAAGAGTTAAGGGACCTTAAATGAATCCTTTTTAAGTCTCCTTATTTCCATTTCTGTTTATATAAAGGATATACCCAAAGTCATTGAAGTTTTGAGCTATTAAAGATTACTATTATAATACTGAAACTAAACTAAGACTTTGGATACACACTATATAATAGAAGTGATAGTTGCTGCATTTATCATCCTGACAGGAATGTTGTAAAGATCAATTTATTCCTGGAATTCCTTGGGGTATCACAGTATTTTATAGTTACCTAATGTGGATACATACATATTAAGACATTTATCTCAGTTAAGGCTAGTCTTGGAAATTTGATCCATGTCTGCTCCATCTGGCTTCACACAGAGGAAAGATTATTTCATGGATGGCAGATTATA